CTATACTATAGTCGAGTTATTTTTTTTCCATTCAGCCTAGATCAAAGTTCCATTAAGACCTCTTGTAATGGACAGTGTGGTTGCAGGAAATAATAAAATAAAACCCTCTTCTTCCTTTAAAGCACATATATCAAACCCAAGGCCCGCGGGCAGAATCCAGCCTGCCACTTCCTTATATGTGGCCTGCCAGAGTTTGGATCTGGAGCACAGTCCTGATGTTGGCAGTTTTTTCTTTCGTTTGTCCTGTTCTGAATCAAGTTCTCACTTTTCCATAAAATTTCCAACTGTTTCCTAAAGGCCGACATTAAAAACTTCACCATGACCTTGGTGACAAGTTTTCACATCAGATTTTCTTCATTCTGATTTGATTCTGTGGTATTATCCTGGTCTGACTGATCTGTTCTTTGTCCAGTAATTTGCCTGTAGTGTCAATGGGAGCACATTCAACTAGATTCAATAGCCTGACATGGCAGCAGAGTCGTTCTTGCAGCAGACTCCGGCAGTTATAAGTGAAGTAAGCCTGCAGTCTGATCCAGTGAAGCGCGAAACACTGCCTGAGGGGCTAAGTGGTTGCATCTTAGATATTTATTCTCAAACTGTGTACCTTGCAGCTCCAGAACACCTGCCAAAGACTGACACAGTGGCACCAACTTATTATGGCTGATGTCTGGGCTGCGTGTCAGATGATGACAGATTGAAAGTGGGGGGACAGGAGGAGTTGCGGAGTTTAGGATTCATTGGTTGAAGTTTTTTTTTTTTCTTTTTGAGCTGTTGTTCTCTATAGCTTCTCAAACTCCTGCGACAAGTTTAATCAGTTACACCGTTGGTTTTTCTGGTTTCCTTTGTTTCCACTGTGTCATAGCTGTGGACTTTACAGCTGGTGATTCATATGCAGAGCCTCACTCTGATTCACTCCTCTTTGGTGCACTTTTATTTCTTTTCATCCGTATCTTATTCCGTTTTCTCCTCTATTCTCATCTTTGTTTTGATAGTGCCTTCTTTTGCTTCTGTTTCTGCAACTTTCTTCTTCCCCACGTCACCCTCCAGGCACACATTCCTTCTGCCGTGTCATACTTTGATGCAGGTTTGACCTCTTTTTCCTACTATTTTTATGTACGGCAGATGGAAGCTAATGAAACACCACTTGTTAGGATTGGTTTTGTTAGCTATCCTTTTAACTTTTTATATCCAATCTACCACGTTTTTACGTTGAATCCCTCAGCTTCTGTTTCCCCACCGGCTACTACGTAGAGGTGACTACCCAAGGTCAGATGGCGGTTTGATCACATTTCCCCCTGCGCACAAATAGCTTAGCTTAGCTTATATGTGTGGATGTGTAGTGCTAGAGTGTCAGCAAAAGTGGGCAGGGATAGATGGCTTTGCCTTTAGGGTAAGAGGGTGATAGGAAGGGGGAGAAAGGTACAGGCATACGGGGGGGACTCCCTTGTGGGACTCAAGCTGATTGCTTTTTCACTGTGTTGCCCTTTTTCCCTTCCCGCTTGCTCTGCTCAGACTTTGTGCATCCATCTGTTTCTTGGCTTAGCTGAGGATGTTTGTCGATGCTGAAACACCTGCTCCACCAGCTTAATGACTGACTTGTATAGCAGACAATAAAGTCGATTTCCACAGGGAGGTTGCAGTTAATTTTATTAGTCATTTATTTACAGTGAGGGTGATTTTCAACTATTATGACATTATGTGTTGGAATTTTTGTAAACAAGCCGCACATTCCCTGAAGAGGAAAAGTGCGTTTTGTGAAAATAAAACAAAAAAACAAAACAAAACAAAACAAACAAAAACATAACCCTTGTAAATTAACTTTTTATTCCACAGAGAAAAAGATAGCAAAAATATTTTGATTATTCAAAAATACATTTTTAATGCTAAACAAAATGTAGCGATTAATCAAGATGAATCATTTTTTGAATTTTTTAAATGCATTCACAAATTACAGATTAGACTTTTTTAAGATTAGAGTTTTTTAATAGTATATATAGGAAGTGAACAGACGTTTCATGACTTTGACAATAGTATGTTAGTATTCAAAGTCCCTTACTGTACATACATATGTGCAGGAGCTGACAGAAGGTGTTGGACGTCCTTGATAAGGTCAATGCTATTTAAGAAACCTCCAAAACACTTTTAGCTCGTGTTTTATCCTGAAAAAAAAAAAACCCAAACAAATAAAAATAAAAAAAAAGAATGAATAATGACAGTCATTTCCCGAGAATAAAGAATGAATAATGACAGTCATTTCCCCGACCATGATAGCAGCTCTGGTGGGCTGTTCTGTGTCACGGTGTTGCAGTGCTTATGTTTATACATGCAAGGTCATGGATTTTAGTAGTTTGACTCACTCCCAGTAGTTTTTCCTTTTAATGCTGAGAGAGTGAACTAACTCACATTTTAACCATAAATCCAATGCATATGTTGTGAAGAAAAAGTAGACAACAATGGGATAAGTCTCAACAGTACCCTGGCTGACCTCTGTGTCCTCCCCTCAAGGTGGAATTGATTTCTAGTGAGCCTTTTTAGCCACAGGAATTTTAAAAAAGTTTAACTGGATGTATTTTTATTCCTTTAATGTAATATTCCTGTTTTTTGCTCTTACATTGACTGCTTAAATAGAACAAATCTATAATTTTTATTACCCTGTCTATAAGTTAAAATAAAGTCTTTTGGCCATTAGATAGTAAATGGCTAAAAGCCTCAGTCATGACCATGAAACCTATTTTATTCTTTAAAAATGTGGTAGTGGTTTTGCCCTTGCAGCTTGTGGTTAGAATAAGGGGCACCTATTGAAACACGGAGGCAGATAAATGGCCAAATAAATGTCGTTCAGACATGAAGAATAGAATTCAAAGTGTGAAGCAGGGCAAACTCAGCTGCCATTTCATTATTTTCATTATTTACTTTTATCCGGCATTTCTCTAGTTGGATTTTTTTGCATTTCTCACCTGACTTTCGCTACAACTTTTTTTCCCACTTCTTTCACCACCATCACAAAAACTCTGCCCTCTGTTATTGTCCATATTTGTGATTGTCCAGGCCTTTCATGTTCTTTCATCTCAGTCAGTGTTCCACACAACAATTGTCAAAATAATATAAATAAATAAAAATTAAATTACAGCAGCCTTTACCCCATCTTTTTATGCCCCACTGGGGCAAAAAAACAATATATAAATATAAATTGAAATTCATAAATCCACCAGAAACCCCTAGGGCGTCCTGCCCTCCTCCCACTTCTGGTACCACTGCTTTAAGCGATTTAACTCTCCGAATAGATGAAGTTCTAAGCATTTATTAGGCAGCTGCAGTATTTTAACCTAATTTTAGATTTGGGTTCCACCATAAGTCAAGCTATGACAGCATCGCTGGTTGGTGCTGAATCCCACGTCCCCTCCTGAGTCACGGTTTTTCTGGGTATTGTAGACGTCTTCTTACAGCCGTCTGTCAGAGGATTCGTCACTTCTGAGGACAGACCATCTCTTTATCAAAACTGTGTCATTTGTCCCTGAAATCCAGACTTCGGCTCAGGTTTGGATACAAAACTGTGATGCCTAAATTATGCTGTGGGGGGATGAGGTTCTGTGTGAAGGTCAAATCTTTATTGAGCTCCAGTCTGTAGCCTGTAACAGGAGAAATCATTTAAGTGAACAACATAATGTAAAAAAAAACACGACAAAAACGTATCTTCTAGAAGTGCAGTGTATATCCATCCTCCACCTTCCAACATCTACAGAAACATTAGCATTCATATTGAGTCATATCTCCGGCCACCTACAAAATCTAAACCCTCACAGATGTGCTGTCCACCAACTCCTGTGGGAAATATGTCCTCGGTGGCCTCATGTTATACCGTAAACTCCATACTGACCGTCTTCCCAACTGGTCCGGGGCAGGTGCGATGGTCTTTAAGAACTTTAAAGCTCTTTTCATCCTGAAATGATCCTGATGTGATTAGAGAGAATTATTTTTAAATTAAAGTATGGGCCATCAAATCAAAACAACCAGAGGAAGGAAGTAAAATACTCAGTGGAGCAGAGGGAGATCGGAGCAGTGTTTTTTTCTTCTCTTTTTTCTCCCGGCTCCGTTAATAGAAGTTATTGCAGAGCAGTCGTCCAATATTTTTTTTTCAATATTATATATTTTGGACTCTTGGTAATTTCAATTAATTGCAACTTCATGTCCAGTGGCCATTCCCCTTTTTGAAAGAAACTTTTGAGTATCAAGGGTTTTTTTTTCTTTTGCTCTTTTTTGCTATAGTTAATTTGAAGGCTAAATGTCACGAATAAGAACTGGGAATATGTCAAATGCTAAAAAGGACAATGAATGGTAGTGATTTTATTTTCAAAATAAAGGATTTGTTTTAGGTAAATATGTTGCACTTAAACCATTTATCCATTCAGCTGTGGACATCACATTGACATGACTTTTTTGCACTTCCATTTCTTTAGTCTCCTTTTTAATAATCGCTTTGTTCTCTAATTATTATTGTTTACCCTCCTCTACTATCTTTCAATTTACTCTTCTTTCTTTTCTCTTCTATTTTCTTTTTCTGCTCTTCTGTCCTTGTCTCTTGTATCTTATCTCTCTTTTCTTATATGACTTTAGGTTACTAAATACCACTTTCCTTCTTCTGGTTCTTTCCTTCCTCATCTCTTCTCTCCTCTTCACAGACCCTAAATTAATTTGTTGCTTGTTTGGTGCTCTATAGTTCTTACACCTTCTGTTAAAACTAAAAAAAAAATCTAAATCTTCTCTATCCCTTTCTGCTCCTCTTCTCCCTTTTTCCTTTTATTCTTCTTCCAGGTTTAATTCAGTGGGATGTTCTACACTGTTTCAGTCACCACTGAGGATTTTCTTTGTCTACCTCTTTGTTCTTCCTCGTTCTTCCGCCTCTTCCTCATCTTCTTCAATACCTCTTGCATCAACGTCCAACCTGATTATCTATATTATATTTTTAATGGCTGACATGTGACTCCTGATCCTCTCCACAGGTATACTTACACACTATGCCCCTTCAATCAAGTCACCCAAGAGAACACTGCAGGAACACAGGTCTCATTAGGGTAAGTACCTCAATCAGTCCAGGTCTTCTCTCCACAGATAAAAATTGAACATTGGCCAGTCATTGAAGGTCAGGGCCAGTACACGTAGTGTACATGGTTCCATCTGAAGAACCCAGATTTACAGTACTGTAGAGTGTAAGTGAACATTTGCAGACCACTGCTAGTTTTTTTGTTTCATGGATTCTGGATACACACTGTGTTGTTCTTTGTTATCTTATAAAGCTAGAAAAGGTACTTCATTTCTCATTTATACAACAGATATATATTTACACAGCAACAACATCCTTCATTCCATGAATGGACTCCAAAGCAATGCCAGCACAGCATGGTCATGAAAGCCCTCTAATCATTGTTGCAGCACTCATGTCAAGTAACCCCTAAAACCAATATTTACTCCATTGATTTATTTTTTTTTATTGTTATTCAATCTGTTGAGCTTCATATGACCTTTGATCAGTCAGTAACAGTTGTCTATTGCAGTTTTAATACCTTTGGATCAATGACAAGAAAACAGGGAGGAGCCTGGGTCATTTACTGCAGAGGTTGTATTTCCTCAGTCTCGATGGAGTTTCAATTTCATCTCAAGGATTTTGCTGCGGCCTTTCTTTTTCTTTTAACATTCCCTCTGGGATGGAGTGTGTTGACCAATGGTCATTGCCGTGTATCAAAATGCCTGTGTTATGAGAGCAGCCACTCAGTAACCATGGGAATGTACCTGCTGATCTGACCTGACGGGTTTTTCATTCTTTGTTCCAGAGGAGCGCTGCTCTACTGATTGAAAGTGATATTGTTCAAAGACTTCAGCCGAAGGGTGAGGTTTCTTTGCGTGTGTGTGTGTGGGAGGGGCTGGATGGGACGTTTGTGAGGTGTAGCCTGTCATTGTTTTTGCCTACCTGTCTGGATTAGCTATTAACATATCACAGGGTCTTCTCAATGGAACATCTCTGTCAAACAGACAAAGATAAAATATACAGTATACGTTTTCTTTTTTCTTGTATTTTACTTTTATCTGCTTCTTTGAATTTAAGATGTGAGGTGATAATTGTGGGATGTCGCGTCACTGTCCTTCTCCACTCTCTTATTAGCCTTAACTGTCAGACATCTGACACTATCATAGGGTGCAATTATAAAAAAAAGAAACATTTTTCCATTGACATTTACGCCCCTGGGAGATGGTGGAAAAGTGCAGGCGTTTCTTTCCATTGAAGATGACTCAATTGCTGTGCTTTTATGACCAGGCAGATAAGCTAATGAGTTGTTTTTGCAAGTTGACAATACGACAGTCTAAATGGCCAGAGAAATTTTTCAGCACGTTGTCAAAACAATTTTTCAACTCCTGAAATGTGACATTGTTTGGCTCCGCTGTCCATTCAATGGTTGAAGAGAGACATTAAAAATAAATTAATGACAATTATGCGGCTGTAAACATATAGTTGTGCTCTCAGATGGCAAACTCATTGCAGCTTCAGATCAGTGTTGTCTTTTTTTGCACCGCCGCCTCCCACGCTGCCCAGTGCAGCGCTCGCCTGCATTTTTAGCGCAGGAATGAGAAATAACAGAATGTTAACTGTGAGTAATGTGACCTCGGGAGCTTGAGCCTGTCTGTCACTCATGATGGTATGGAAGGGCAGAGGGACCAAACGCAACCATGTCTCCTACTCATGAGCTGGTCATGCTGTTTAGAGCAAAATGCCAAGAAATTGTTAATCATGTATAATTTATACAAGGATGGTATGTAGATAGAAATCCTGGTTTTTGTGATCATAATTTGAAACATTATGTAACAGGTGCAAGGGAAAATTGTTCAAATCGTATGTTTAAATAAAAAATATGGAAACAAATTTACAGTATTCAAAGTATTTCAAACCTAAATTAATGCTAACAAATATTTAAAAATATTCACAATCTCCATATTCCAAAATACACTGAAAAAATTCTAAAAGTCACCAGTGGGAGGTGGACAGTTTAGTAGGTTAGCTAGTATTAAAGCAGCCTTAGTAATTAATATTAGGTCAAAGAGGAGCATCAACCAAAGGTTTTGCAGAAAAGCGTGATTTATACTTGGCAAATTATATTCGGTTATTATGAAATATTTTGTTGTTTGACAGCCACAGTCAATACTTTAAAAGCTCCCATGATCCTGTGATGGACATGAACAACATTGACTCAGTGTTGCAACTTAGGGAGGACTGGCCTCTAAACACGCTCCACGACTGTACAAGAGGTGAACGTACCTCGATTGTCACCATAAGTTGGAACTCACATACTGTACTCTACTGTACCTCACCTAGGCTAATACAGTGGTAACATCAGACTCTAGGACATAATAATAAAAATACAAAAAAAATATATATAAAAAAAAATTATAAAAAGTATTCCTTTAAAAGGACCGAGCATGTCATTATATTAAAAGAAAACAGGAAAGGTTAGGGTTGGTGTTTCTGTTAATTTTGACTGGATCCCTTTCTGGAAATAGAGTTTATTATTACGAGCAAAACATGTTGTTCCCACTGCTTATTAGAATTTTAAATTTCTCATTTTCCCGGGAACATTGATCGCAGACTATTTCCAGTTTGATGACTTGCTAAGGCAAACAACTGCTCTGTAATTTCTGAGTGTACTCAGGCAGTACAGTATAATGTAAGATACTCTTAACTAAGAGTATACAGTACATGGAATGGTTTTTGGTTGGACAAGAAGAGGGAGGGGAGCGACATGAATCATGGCTGGCACACTGAAAATAAAGTTCATTTTTTATCCAGACAGACCATCAGTCAGGCCTCGCAGGATATGGCTGGTCCTCCTGACATCAATCTGCATGGAGGCATCCTCCTTCTCCCCAGGGGGGTGAGGGTGGTTGGGAGGGAGAGAGGGCTGGTTTGATTTAAACGGCAGCATTTATCACACCTGCTTCAGCATCCTAAAGGACGAGCACGTCGGGGTTTAAAAAAAGGGGGAGGAAAGGATGAGGGGGGGGGGGAGAGAGGGGCAGCATGTGTAACATGTGTAACCTGTCAATGAGTGTGCGGGGCTGAAGTTGTGATGACTGCCACCATGACACTGCTAATGCTGTCCCGCACCATTTCAACTAATTTGTATTAGTTATATCCCATTTCTGCAGCTGAGTTCTGACTGTGGCTCATGGCCAGACTCCCAGTATGTGAAGTGCGTCAGGGCTCATAAAAGTTGAAATTGTTCCCTGAGCCCTAACCTTCCTTCATGCTTGGTTTTGCAGCATAGGTGGTGTCAGACCATTAACTATACAAATGTTCTTAAGGAACAATAAATCAGCCTGGGAACATTCTTTTGTGGCTGCTCTCTCTTTTGCTGTGACCACACAAGGTGCTGTAAAGATTTTATAAGGCACAGCCGTCATGCTGCATGCTCCCAATTATCTATAAATGCAGATATTATACAACTGCTATTCACCTCTCCAATTTCCAATGGCGCTTTTTCTCCAGTTTTTTTTTTTTCATTCTTCTTCTCTGCCTTTCAGTCTCAGCAGCTCTGCCGCTTCCCCAAATGACCATTGTAACAATACCATCAGCAACGATAATGATAACGGAGTAGGAGAAAATGCTTGCATTGCGACAAACACCGTCCCCGCTGTGACAGCGTCGTCCATCTTCATAATGTCCGCTACCCCCGCCCCAGCCGTTCCAGACGTGCTGGTTACAATGACAGGGCAGCAAACAGGGGGGCTGCTAAATGCAGTCTGTTCAGAAAAGAATAACAAACACACACGCAGAGTCAGTCATATTCAGCCGCACATATCAGGCAGCTGCTTCACTGCCATTTATAGCTATAAATGAGCAACACACACAAAGACATGATGAGCAGGTACACACTACTCGTCTTTTCACACCAGCCATCTTTGTATAGATTGCATCCATTACAACTGCATAGATAGTGCAGTATTTTTAAAAAGAGTAATTTAATACCATTTTCATTTTAAATCACGGTTTGATAGAACAGTGTACGTGGATTGTTTTTTTTTTTTTTGTGGTAAACAATAATAGTATACATATACCTGAATTAAATTGGAATATGAAAATTCAATTTGTGAATTAGTGGCATAGTTTATACACACAGAGAACTTCATCTCCCATCCAGTAAACATCCGTCTTTCTTCATACTCCTTTTCACTAGCATAGCAGTTTAATAGTATGAAATCTTGTGTTCCCCTCAGGGGGCACCACAGCACATCTTAGGCTTTGACACCAACAACGTCTATGTCCTCTTTTACTGCACCTGTAAATCTTCTCTGAGGTCTTCCTTCTCTCCTCTTGTCTGGCAACTCAGTCTCCAACACCCTGTGTGCAATATGTAAGATATACATTTTGAATATGTTCCCATCCAACATATTCGCATATGTTTACTAATTGATAGTATGTACCTAGTGGACGTGCTTTGGCAAACCCGTCCTCTGTGTTCATCCATCATCATTGGTGTTTCAGGCAAAAGCTGGGCTTTTCCTTAACCTGACTTTAAGAACAGCTGCTCTTTTGGTTTTCGATTACTTCTGCCTGGACAGCTGTTGTTGTGTGGCACTGTGCAAAATTGTGGTCAAAATAATTTATATATTTACATACTGCTCCAAAGTTAGCCTTTTTTATTACATCAGGATGTTTGATTGGTATGTCCAGGTATGTTTCTGGATGAATGCAGAAACTTATAGCAACAATCACATATATGCTGACCAATATATGTAAAAAAAAAATAGTATCTGATGTATACAGCATACACAACTCAATGTAAAAGCAAGAAACAGAATGAAAATAACGTTGTTTAAAAGTGGGAGCAATCATAAACAAAGTCACTGAACAAAAGCTGGAAATATAGAAAGTAAATCAGTTCATAACAGCATGTTTTTTGTAATAGAAATAGTTTCTCTGAAATCCTCCATTTCCAACAGATTTTACAGGTAGAAAACTATTCTTGCATATAAAAAACTAGTAATACATAGCTGCTTCAAACTTAACCCCGTTATTTATGATTCC